GTCAGTGAATTCTGAAAGGGAAGTTCATATTGACCGGAACAATGCAATGGGCACGCTCAACTATCTCCTTCCAATCAATATGCCGAGGCGTGGAGGTGAGATATGGCAGGAGCTGCGCAATGGTGATACAGTATCCGGCAGAATATCAGAGCTTACGTCACCGGATGGAAAGGTGAGGTATGGGTGCACGTATCCTTTGCAAGAAGGGTGTGTATTTCACTTGAATCCGCACCGCAGGCATGCTGTGTTGCCATACAAAGGTGAGCGCGTGGTAGTGGTTGGTTATACACCTGGTGTTCTACAGAATGTTACCCGAACTGACCGGGAGTTCCTGTGGACGTTGGGTTTTCCGATGCCAGTTGTGGACGAAGATGGCGGAGGTGGTATCCGCATCAGTACGCTTTCTGTAGCAAAAGACCTGGAAGCAGATGTATGCCCAACTCCATTCTTTCAGGAGGAGCACGTCGCGACTGCATCGGTGTCTGCTGATGCTCAGTGTCAGTCGTTGGCCTGTCATATACAGCATGAAGAATGGGCAGACTGGGAAATGCGGCTATTGCTGGATGGAGATCAGAAAGAAACTGTTCTGGTGGAATCTGATGTGAGGAAGCCTCATGGTCTCTACAAAGCGGAAGTTAGTTACACAGAGAACATTGAGCAGTTGCTGGAGGCCTTAGATGGGCCGCTGAGTATTGTTCATACGGTGAGTCCAAAAGATGCTGCAGATCACTTTGAGAAATGGGTACCATCGTTGGAAAAGCAGATTGCGTCGCTGGCCCATGCAGTCCAGAAGGCCCATGTCGATGATGTAGAAGTGAGGAGAGATGTGGAGACTGGTAAGGGTCAGATGATTCCGATGAAAGTGGTGTTTACAGTGAAACCCCCAGATGCTACGCAGGATGGGGCAAGCGCTACTCCTCTTTACAAAAGGAAGTCACGTATTGTGATATGTGGGAACTTAGCGACGCATCAGCCTGGAGAAGTATATACCAATACAGCACCGGCGGAAGTCGTGAGGGCTGCAATAGCCTTAGCGAGGTACTTCAATTGGAACTTGGGCATGATTGATGTTGTGGCTGCGTTTCTTCAAACACCATTGAAGGAGCTTTCTGGAGCACCGCTGGTATATGGAGTTCCCCCAAAAATTTTAATAAAGGCTGGACTGTGCAGACCTGGAGAGTTGTGGAAGCTAACACACGCAGTATATGGCCTGCAGGAATCACCGAACCTCTGGGGCACATATCGCGACCAGCGATTGGCCGAGATCACGTTTATGCTTGGGGATAAGACAATTACACTGGTGCAAGGGAAAGTAGAGCCCTCGTGGTGGTCAGTGATGCAGGATGGTACTGTGCTAGTCGGCATCCTTGTGGTGTATGTGGATGATTTGTTGATCTGTGGCGAGGCCGATGTCATTAAGGGTGTGACAGCAGCAATCAGATCACTCTGGAAAACGAGTGAATTACAGTTGGTCTCCGAAGGCACCATCAGATTTCTAGGAATTGAAATATCGGAGTACAAGAAGGGATTTGCTTTGAGCCAGAGTTCATATATTGAAGAGCTGGTCAGATTACACAATATTCCGGCTAGTCGCAGGGACTTAATACCGGTTGCCAAGGATCAAGCCACCTTTCTCATTGAGGAGGACGAGAAGATTTTCACGGTCGCCGGGCTCAGAACCGCACAACAGTGTGCGGGAGAACTTTTATGGGTATCACAGAGAACCAGACCGGATATCAGCTATGTCGCATCCCTCGTGGGCTCATTAGCCACGCGGGCCCCACGTCGAGCCATTCAAATAGCAGAAAAGGCAATCGCTTACCTGCAACGAACAATGGGGTACAGTTTGATTTACCAGACAGATGGCTCAGGACTTGTGGCATATTGTGATGCTAGCTTTGCCCCAGAAGGGGGAAGAAGTCATTCTGGGTGGATTGTGCTTTTACATGATTGTGTTATTGCGTGGCGATCGGGAAGGCAGGCTACAGTGACTTTAAGCACGGCAGAAGCAGAATTGATGGCAATGTCAGAAGCTGTACTTGCGCTACAGAGCACGGATTCCATGATGAAGGATATGTTTCCTGCAGGACAGCAGCTACAGCTATTTTCAGACTCGACCTCTGCGTTGGCTATTGCAAATGGAAGTGGAAGCTGGAGGACAAGACACCTCAGGTTGAGGAGCGCGTGGGTGGCAGAGTTAATTAGCAATAAGGCTATGACCGTGCACCACTGCGTTGGAGAGGTTCAACCAGCTGATCTACTCACAAAGGCTTTGGCGTCGCAGCGTATAAAATCGTTGTGTTGCTTGCTCAATTTGAAGGACACCGATGAGGAGAACTTCGCTGGCAATGGTGAAGAAGACAGACAGCAGACAAGCAACAGCAGCCGCAGCAGCATAGCCAGTGCCCCTAACCAGATCCCTAAGGTTTTAATTGCGCTCTTGGTACTTTCGCAAGCAGTGTTGGGAGAGTCGCATGAGTGGGAGCGCGAGGACGCCTTCATTGTGACATCGAGTTTGTCTGTGGACTATGGGATGATAACCTGGGCGCTATTGTGGTCTGCGGTGATAGTGTTTTTGCTGGCATGGGAGTTGTTGAAGTGGCTGGTGTGGCTGCTCTATGATCGAGCTACGCCTGGATCAAAATCCCGTCGCTTGAAGCGTTTGAAAAGGCTACGAGAGGCTACAGCAGACGCTATACAGAGGGAGATCCAATCAAGAGCTGGGTCGTCGGCGGAGCAAAGAGCCAGAGACAGTCAGTTAGAGGCGAGTGGCCAAAGGCCAAATCCTCCAAGAACTACACAACATGCTGCAAGTTCTACTGACACTGCGGATGAAAGGCTGCAGCTTCTGAGGAAGCTGGCTAGAGGAGTGAAGGAGACTAGCGAATGCGGAGTTCAAGCTGGTGCGTTTGAACATGTCCCTCCTCCAGCCGATGTACGTGTGATTTTGAGGTATGTGCACGAGCCTCCTGAAGATGCCTATGTAGTGCCTGGAAATGAATGTTATCATGTATACCAGGACTGCTTCGCGTTCCGACATCGAGGAACGTTGGGTCGCGTAGAGCACAGGAGGATTTGCCAATACTGTCTGAACCGTACCAAAGAAGACCCAGACAAGTCGGCGGACTATTTTCGCGATTTGGAAAGAGCAAGGGAGTATGAAACCTTGTTCAACACAACCTTGAGAACGTCCGGCCAACGGGCAAGAGGGTCTGATGATGCCTCCTGACGGATGCATCAAGGAGGAGTGAAGAGATTCAGAAATTAGGCTTTGCTGGATGGTGTGTTGGTGAAGCCTGCTCTTGCATGTTTTTGGTGTTTGGCCTCAAGGTAAGGCTACGAAGTTCAACCTTGGGCCAGTAGAGTGACAAGCAGTGTTGCACACCGTTCTCATTGCAACATGCTAATAGCCAAAGCTCACTGTAAAGTAGCCCAATCCAGTCGAATGTCGTAAGACATGTTCGAGGAGGGCTGAAGCATTCTGGCTTGTTTTAGGCGGAAAACAATTCGCTTGAGAGTGGATGCCCATGCCGTTCGAGCCCTTTGCTGCCTGGCTATAAGAGGTGTCTATATCTCTTCACTTAGGGTTTCCCTCCCTAACCCTCCCGCTCTGGACGTCGACTTCGCCCTGAAGGCCCCCTCAGTGTCACTCACGTGTTTCACGCCAGTCTCGCTGCATCAGGGAGACTCACACTTGCCTAGGCCTCAGCAGCCTCTGCCGGTCTTTCGTTTTTTTTTTGCTTTTGGCATGCCTGCATACCTACTCCGGCAGCCTACTTGCTTCAGCAGCCCGAACATGGCTTTTGGCTTTTTTTCTTAGGTAGTGGCCTGCCTATACTCAGTTTCACTACATTCTCACAAAGTCTAGTCGGGGGGAAAAGCTTTAGCCTTTAGCCTATGGTCCAGCCTCAAGACCTAGGCCCCCTCCCCCTCGGCTAGCCGCAAAGCCTAACAGATGCAACACGTTCAAAAAGAGAGAGCGCCTAGTGCTAGAGCAGCGCAAGCCTAAGTAGAACGTTTTCGAAGTCAGCACCGGCGGCGGTGACTCTTTTCCGGGAATGGTTGGCCGAATGCCCACTTTGGGTTTAGGATTTAGGGTTAGCAAGTTACAATTTCAGGACAAGGATCGGCTCAAGTCCAGCGGATCAGCATTTCAGAACTGGAGCGGATGGGCAATCTGAGAGTTTATACGTTGCGACGGCCTCAGATTCGCTGACACGTAGGGTTTAGGGTTTATTCTCCGAATAAACAAAACAAGACATCAAATATGAAAGTATAGTAGATTTTATATAAGTATATTCTATAAGGCTTCAAACCGAAGAACGAAACACGCTTAAAATGTTGGAAAACCCACACAAAATACAACAACACCAAAACATCAACTTGAGAATGCAGTGTTGAAATCGGGTTTTAAACAGTAACACGTTTAGGACGTGACAAATTGATCAACCACTTCTGCTTCTCCGGTAGGCCTTTGTCCATACTTTGAGCGAGCAGCGTTACCATGCGGATTTTTGGTATCATGTTCCGACGGACATGTTTTCTGGTCGTTGCCTAGTGGTCTGATCGCACGGCACGAGCCACATTGCTCAAGCACGCACGTGTACAGAAAGAGCACAAGACGTCTCGACGTTTGGTTCCATAGCTGTAGAGGTCTTGTGGTCTTGCGTGCGAATGATGGAGCAAGTATACTTCCGGCGACATCATCGTTTCAAGCTTGGAAACGCCTGCTCGTTGAGCCGACTCATGGTTTAAATCGCGGGATGCTATGTTATGTTATATTTTATTAGTGGAGGAACATGACGTGAACTTGAGGACAGCAGATTCATGAAGCCTTGGGAAACATGTAATGCCAAAGAAAGTGGTTTTTGTTCGCTAATGTCACTGCCCGCCTAGGGAGGAAACGCCATACATACGACCATGCGGTTCCCAACAATAGTTTGGGCTTTGAACTTAGTCCTACAATAGCATCATGCGTCTGCGTGTGTGTCGTCGCATCGATGCTGCATTGACCGCCCCTCAGACCACTTCGCAAATTGTGCACTGGCCGTCCGTGTGCTGCTCTAAGGCACAGTGCCAGATGCTGGTGCTGCTGAGGTCGGCTAATAGCTTCATGCAGTTACGATGAGCGAGTGTTGTGGACCACAAAGAAAACACTTCATGTCCGCCTTGAGGCAGTTCTACTGGCTGAGATTGGACCGGAGGCAGTTCAGGTCCCACTTCGCTGCGACGTGCTCACTTAATTTCGTTGGTTTGCCTCAGGTGCTTCGACCGTACTATTCAGCTCTCGTGGGTGTAGCTGATCTGGCACGTACAGCTGGAGGCCTTTGCATCGCCGCATCACCGATCTGCCACAGTTCGGAACAAAGAACATATCTCGAGGCCAACAGTTGAGATCGTTGATGGCATCTCAGTGATCAACCCAGACATATTTGCTGTGGATGCGACGACAATCGCACGCCGAGGCTCCGCCACATTGGCGAGTTAACTTGTAAAGTTGCCGCATTGGAGGCTGGACGTGGTCACGGAGACTGCATGAAGTTGGAACGCCTGGGTGCAGGGCCTGACTCGATTCCAGGATTCATGTCAGCATTGGAAAGCGGTGTGCGATCGGTTCCAGAAGCAGCTGGCGCAGGCCGGGACCCACCTTAAGGGCAACATCGTAAATATCATCAGGCACAGTCCAGCCCATTCCAAGCATCATTCTGTACTTGGGAACATTCAAGGCCAGAGTCCTTGACGAAGCATGTACCCAAGCAATTCTGTCGCAGGCATGCGAGCGGAGATCAAGACCTTTTGAGAGCTAGCCAGACTATGGGCAGCATAAGCGGAACGGCCGCGAGCTGTAGCAATGCGCGCAAGGCATGCGGAAGCGTTTTTACGGGAGAAGCACTCAAAGGCGGCGGGGGCGCTGAAGGCTCTCGAAGGGCCACGCAAAAGGTACAGTTGCTTCCGCAAAAACAAACGAGGAAGGGTTTGCCAGCGTTAACGCATGTAATGCCTTTTTAGCCGTGTTTCGCACGAACGCCGATCTTAATGACACAAAGATGCCACTTGGGCTGACAGATGTGGTAGTCATGAGGATTGCAACCCTGCCAGGTCAACTTCGCCCATGCGGCCGCCAGGAGGGCTTCAGCATGTGTTGCAAGCTCTGCCTTCAGTGGAGACCTGCAGGCAAGCAGCTGATGGGCAGCCCGACTCCTGGAGGTGTTCTATGGGACGTATCGTGCATGCAATGATGTGCAGGCGAGTGCGCTCAGATGCTTTGCAGGTGCGACCTGTGTTGTGTGCATTTTCGGTGGCTGAAGCGGTGGAAATCTACATGCGGCCGGCAGGCACGGCTCGCCGACATGACGAAGGAGCATCAGGTGACCTGCATCTTTCGAGCGAAGGGCATAAGGAGGGTAGACAGCGCGCCTGTGCTAGAATCTGCTAGAATCAGGTGATGTCCACAGCAAAAGCAGCGGATAGGGGATCTGCTTCCGGAAGAAGCTCTTGAAAAGCCGATTTAATGACAGCGCCGCTTTTTCTGCGGACAATCTCCTCTCACGGGTCGGGCGGGAGGGAGCCAGAAAGTTTCTTGACAAGGCATTGATGCTTCAAGTGCAGCTCTGTCAACAACGTGTTACACACTACCATGACAGCGCAGCCCTTTCTGCAGACAACCTTCTCAAGAGATCACAAGCACGTCAGGGCAAAGTCAGCATTAAGAGCATCCGATGTACCTTGTGGAAGCCGAAAGCTGAAGCTGAAAGCTCCGGTGGAGCGAAGCTGAAGTGACACGAAGCGGCCTCTCCCAAATCGTCTCCCGAATCGCAGACGTTAACGAAGGGGTGGGAGGAGAGGGTTACACTGAGAAATTCAGACATGCAGTCGAAGTCAAGCGGGTATTTGCTTCACGATGAGTTAAAGCATGACACATTCGAGGCGGAAAAGACTCCGCCTACCAAACTTGTTGCAGCCGAGCCGCACGTGTCGAGCCTGGGTCCGAGAGCACAGCCCTGAAGGTGCGTTGGACAGCGTCGCTGCCTGCCCGCATCAAGATTATCGATACTTGAAGTAAAGAAAAAGAGTGCGTTTGCGCCACAGCGCACCAAACTGACAGCAATGACTGAGAATCGTGCGAACATGAGGCAGCTTCCTCATCTCGGCAAACCTGTGAAGAGACCAACATTTGCTATCAGCAGGGTTCTCAAGAATCCACGGCACCCGTTGTTTTTCCAGCCACTATCTTGAATTTGGGGCTATGTCCTGCTTCACATTGAAAGGGGCGGCAGGGTCAAATCACGGTGACCACCATGCCTTAGCTCTGACAAAGCCACGACAACGAACAGCTCTTGCTGCGCCGCCGCGCCCGGCGAAAAGTGTTACCGTGCCTTGTATCCCAGGAGCGGTCCTCGCGGCCGAGCATGATCTCCTCGAGGTACTCCCCCAGAGTGCAGCAGTCGGGTCTCCGAGGACAACTTGCGCCACGTGGCTGCCGGTCGACCAGACTTCTCGTACTGGGCCATGCTTTGTCTTCCTACTCAACCTCCTCTCTTTCTGATCTCTTCCTGAGTGCGATTGTTCATGGACCGATCGATGCTCGGGCCCGAGTGCCGAGCCTGATACGGGACCAGTTCCACCTTCAAGTCCTGGCAGCAGGAGTGAAAGACTGATAGGCATTCGGCGTAGTCGAAGCTCTACACTTTTTCCATCTTCGGTCCTTTGCTCATGTACTCCAGGATCGGCCCAAAAGAACCTGTCCAGCTGGAGTCAGGAGGATCGAATCGTCCTTCGTCCCTGTCGTTGAGACGTCGCTGGTCTCCGTCAAGCAAGAGGCACCACCGACCAGTACCCAGTGATGCGGGCGGTAGGGCGCACGAGCCCCATCCGCTGCAGCTCGAGCAGAGCCCCAGATCGATGGTAGTTCGAGGCCTGGAAGAGGTTGAAAACGGCCATATCCAGGTGGCCACGCACCACCATCCGCCAGCTGACTCCACACCACACTGGCAGCGGGAAAGCAAGCCTCGAGCGAGATGGGCACAGCTTTCTCCACAGCCTCGGGATTTTTCTGTTTCCCAGCTTCCCAAACTCCGGCACCGGGTCGATGAAGGCTACGAGGATGTAGGCCCCGAGATGGCTTTCCTCGCCTTCGAGAACTCTCCGAGTGAACATCTTCACAAGCGCATGGCCTCGAACATAGGCCTCCAAGTCGCTCAAGCTTCTCTGGTCGTGCTGACGTACGGCAAGGGTCATCGCATGATGTTCCAGGATGCTTGTTCCTGGACGGTGACAAGCTGCACAGCTCGTCTGTCGCCCTCGCGCTGTCCGCTCTTTTTTGCCGTGAGACACGAGGTACTGGCGCTCTCGTCGTCGGAGCCGTCTGTTCTCCTTTTCTTGAGAAGAGGAAGCTTCTGAAGATTACGGCTTCCTCTCCGCCAACCACCAAATCAGCCAGAGCCTCATGCCACATGGGGTCGTCACCGTACCACAGCAAGATCCTCTGTCCTGCGTTCAGGTTCTGAGAAACGTCCACCTACTCCAGCTGGGTCCAGCTTGATGTTGGTGGACATGGCCACCGCTTAAAGACACCCTTGCAATGCTGAAGACGTAGTGGCCAATCGCTTCGGCCGCAAACGAGCAAATCGACCACCCAAGCAGCTCTGGCCGACCAGCGTCACCTTATCTTTCTGGTGCCGTGCACACACAAGAGCCCCGAGGTTTCCTCACAAAGGCAAGAGCAGTCGCAAGCGGGGGGATCCAAGTCGTATTTTTCCTGATGGCTCTCCCGAAGCACTCACTGCCTTCCAGAAGCTAATCATCTGAGACAGGAAGTTTCTTGACAAGGCAGCGACGCTTCAAGTGCAGCTCTGTCAACTACGTGTTACACACTGCCATGTGGGGGTCGCGATCGGCAAGAGGCCACCTGCTGACGCAAGAAAGGACAATCGAAGTTCGTGTTGCATGAATCGTCATAGCTTCTTGGAAAGCTTGCTGTCTCATAGACCGAGCCGTGCCGTGGGTGCCGGTGACATCGGCATAGTTCTTACAGAGTATGAGATGCCTGGCTGCGACAGGAGGCTATCCTCGCGTCGAGGCGCGACACCAGCTTGTCGCAGGCGAAGCTGCATGTAAAGCGCTCCTGACACAGAGCGATGGAGAGAAAATGAGAGACAGAGACACAGAGCGAGAGAGAGAGAGAGAGAGAGAGAGAGAGAGAGAGAGAGAGAGAAAGAGAGCGAAACACCGAGACAGAGAGAGAGTGAGAGAGAGATAG